AGATCTAATCAATGATGTCATGCTGCATGCTCAAGAACCACATGCCATGCTGCAACTAGCCAAACAAAATGATCAAATTCTTCATTGATGTTGATTTCAAGATTTAATAACATAGTGATTCGCAGAATTGTGCCATTGTCACTCATGATTTGTCATCCATAATAAATTATGATGAAAAATAGTCAATTAAGAAAGAGGGAGCAAGGACACTATGGAAAAGTTCACATGTATGCTAAAGTAACACATGGTTTATTAATAAAGGAATTATATCCTAGGGCCTAACCCAAATATACGAATGAAAAACTTGGCATCCTCAGCAATATCTGATGCCAGCATTCTTTTCCTTCAAATAACAATAAATTATAATTAGCATAGAACCATAAGTTTCAAAATAAACAAAGATGAACAATCAGTCTCTAGCCACTTTATAAGGAGTATAAAATGCAAAAATTTTATTGTGATCGCAACCATTTGAAGATCAACTTATCCTACCTGGTTCTATCAACAGCAGATGCACCAGCTTGTCCAGCAAGTTGACGTTTCCAAGCATATGCAACAACAGCACCATCTGGGCAAACAAGGGGCATGTGTAAGCCCCAAGAATTACCTCGTGACTTAAGGGACCCATTTAATACTCCAGAATCTTCCAGTTGTCTTCCTAAAGTGCAAAGAGAATAATCATACTGCAAGTTTTTGAAATATATGGAGACAGCTAAATAAATTAATTTAACAATGAATCATACAAAACCAGCAATAAAAAGGGATGAATCAGGGTTGCTGAGTAACAACATGCAAGTTTGATTAATTACAACTTTCATTTGGTAGAAATTATTGTAGCTGGACACTTGTGAGCTAGCCCATGCAACACCATTTTTTTCGCATATGTTGGCTGAAATAAATAATAAATTAAAAAGTTGAAAAAAAATTGAAGTCAAAAGCAAAGCAAAGATATAACAGATACCTAAAATCACTTGACAACTTGTATCATCACACTCATGGCTTGTAGCTTCAAGTGAGAGCTGAAGGAAGGCTAAAAGCTGGTACTCTCAATTACAGCTTGGGCAAACAGCAATTAACTTGGTTCTGGACAAATTTCAACTGTTTCAATTGAAATGCAGTATTTGTGTCAATTTACTCCAGAAGAGATCTATTAAATTGGGTCCAGTTATCAAGGTTGAGGTTTATTTCTATTGTGTAAAAACCTACCAATTTCTTGCTCATAGAACCTTTTTCCCTCTCTTCTAAAAGGTCTTCAAACTTGCACTCAATTTTGTCTACCTCTTCTTTTCTTAATCAGGCCAATAACTACAAGTTTATTTCAAAATCAAGATCATAAGATATTTACTTATCCCAGAGAAAAAATAGCTTAAAGTTAAGTTTCAATATGCATCCATTTGTTAGTTGCTATTTTGAAATGTATACATTTGTTCTACCTGTAAATGCCTTACAATTGTTCTTGCTCTTGTACTTTCTCAATCTTTTTCTTTTCTGTTATCTTTAAAATAGCTGTCAAAACTCCAGATAGAACTGCCAAAAATGCTCCATTACGATCATCGCCCCACATTGAACCTTGGAAACATGATTGTGTTGTTGTCATGCCATCCATTTAATAAAAGGAGTGTCATTCTACAGTTGCTAACATCTCCTAAAGTTGAATAACCCCTAATCTGCAGTCCAAGAATTCCTGGTATATAAATATTTCTCAAGAGCCTGAAATTTTCATTTAACTTTGTATGCCATTTCCAAGAAAATATATTGGTTGATGCAACCTTAAGGTCAAGGAACTCTAAGTTGGACCATAGCTCTGCATGTGCCTTTAATCTTTAGGGTATTCAAAGAAAACTACCATAAAGAACTTACGATTTTATAAATCAAGATCAACTAGAATGCCTAAGTTCGTAGTACTCTTTTATAAATTTTTGATACAATTCATCATTTAACATGCCATGAGAAATTTCGGTCCGATTATATAACTACTATATTTCAGTCTCAAATTTTACAAATGCCCTGTCAGCAAATGTGTAGCTGAATCACCCAAACAAATATTCATTGAATGCACATTTGCTAGAAATTACTGGGATCTATTTAAGCAAAACTCCTTTGTGGATTTCACTGATTTCAACATATGGTAACTTGGCACGTGGCTTGAGGGTGACATGGGTTCCACTAAAGAAATAAAAAACAGTTCTAGAGCTATCATAGCAAATTCTCTTTGGCAATTATGGATAAACCGAAATGATTGTCACTATCGAAATCACCAGTCTAATTATGAATCTCTTAGGAGGAACTTAGTAGCTGCCACTACCAATATGATTAAGCAATCACAGGAATTTAATGGAGCCGAATCTATTACTTTGACAAATGGAAATAATTTGATTGAATCATGAAATGTTCAAATTGAATGTGATGGATCATTCTCTCATAAATTTTTTGCTGCAGGCACAGGCTATTTAGCAAAAGATACAGATGACATATCTTTGGTTGCTGGATGTTCTCCCTGAAGAAGCAGCAAGCCCACAACAAGCTAAGGGACAGGCTATCCTGGAGGCTTTACGAAGAACAAGGAGCAATGGATAGAGGAAGATTTTAATTTGTTCTGACTCCCTTGAGTGGACCAAGTTTATATATATGGCTCTACTCAAATAACCAGATACTTGAGGGCTTTACTTGAAGATAGTTTGGCCATTGCCTCAAAGGTTACTGTAATTGGATTTCAACATATAAGCAGAGAGGATAATTGCTCTGCAAATAAACTAGCTATGTTGGGGCGAACTTCACGGGCTGTATCCACCTGGGAAAATTATTTTGACTGGGCACTTCTGCCTTCTTGTATGTTACATTCTCATGATATCTAATGAATAGTTTTATCTTTTCCACAAAAAAAAAAAAAAAAAACATGCCATGAGAAAATTCCATCGGTTTAACAACCTTAGAGATAATATATCTATAAAAAGTACCAAAAGATCAGCATCTACCTTCTGAAACGCTAAAGAAACATTGTGCCTAAATTAAGAAAAAAATACTATTGGTACCAATAGAATCTAACACAAATAAAATCCAACACCAGAATTCAAGCCTAGTCCAGCATATTTTAATCTCGTTGGAACTATATTCTTGGTTTATTGCTGGTTCGAACTCAAGAAATCAGCGAGAGAATCAGTAATGAGATGAGTGAAATGACAAATCTAATTCTCGATGCGAGTAAAAGCGGAAAAATCATAAGAATGAGGGCGGGAAAAGGGAAGAGCGAAGAGGCTACCGAGCGCCCGGAGATCCTGGAAGTGCTGACGCATGGAGCTCTCCTCCTTGAGGATGAACTCGACGGCCTTGCTGTTCGATTGGTCGCGGGCGTCAGCCGCCATGAAAAGCGCCTCGAGTAGGCGATCCGCCCCCAGCCGGATGTCGGCTATGACGCGAGCGGCGCGGGTCAGCCGCTCCATGGCCAGCGCCACCTGCTTCGGAGGAGCCTCCGTGGTTGCGTCTCCCGCAGATTCCAGCGGATCCTGAGGCGCCGCCAGGGCCCCCACCGCTGAGGTCGTCTGCTGGGCTTGGGGCATCATCTCTCTTCGCCCCCTGGGGCTCTCTTTCTCTCTCGTCTTATGCCGGTGGGGAAGAGGAATGTGCAATTATCCAAATAGCCCTCCCTACGTTTATTTTTTTACTTGAGTCCTCTAATGTAAAATACCAAAATGGGGGGGCCATAGCTACTAAAATAGATATTAATAAGGGCCCTTTAAGCAAAATACACCACTGGTATGGAAAATGGCCGACTGGGGGCCTTCACTTAAAAATAATTGATATATAAGGGCCTTTTCAGAAAAGTTACTGCGGCCTTACTTCAAAAATAATACATATTATAAGCGTCTTTTCAGAAACTTTACCCATATAGTTTTGGGCCTAACGGAAGTCGGCCCACTTTTCTTGGGCTTGTGAGTCGTCTTGTTCAAGCTTTCCGCTGCCAATTTTCATGGAAAAAAAAATCTGAAGAAACTAAAAAATAAAAAATATCTTATATCGATAGATTATTATATATATAAATATAATAATTAATTTTATTTAAGTCGTGTGACATATTTACGTATCTATGTGTAAAATATCAATAATCTTATGATCTCATAGGGTTCGGCCTAAAAAAATCATAGGTTAAATTTCATAAGTAAGAAATATATATTTCATAAACTACAAAGTATAATTGAAAAAATGATATATCTAATTAGTAAAATGACGGAAGAAAGAGCATCCTTACCTAATGTTAAATGTATTAAAGATAAGAAAATATTTACTATTAATAATAAAATTAAGAAAAAGATGGAGAAATTATTTTTATGAATTATTTAATACATATTTCCTAAATAACTTAACCCAAAATTTAGATAATAATGATAGGTTTAATAATAAATAGATTTATTTATAAAATTAATATAAAACAACTTGAGAGGATCCTTATTGAGCTCTAGATGGGTTGAATAATTTGGTTAGCTAATTTATTCTAAAATTGAAAGTGAATAAGTGTTTGACTTTGATTTATTCTAAAAATGGAAGCTCGGCAACCTTAACAAAATAAAATATAATTTTACTATTTATAATTTCTTAATTATCAATCATATTCTTAATTATCAATTATATCAATCAATGATGAGAATATTTATTTATATTTATAGATAAATATTTTAGAAATACTAAAAAATTATAAAATAGTAAAAAGGAGCAGATCCCCTAAAAATATTTATGGCTATGCCTCCAATAATTTTTATCTCCTAAAAAATATTAATATCAATGCCTTGAATAAGTTAATAAATTTTAATTTGTATATCACAGACGTCAGCCAATTCTTTCTCACATCCGAACGCATCTCCAAATACTGACCCCACGGAGCGGATCCCCTCCAATTATGCTTATAAAAGGAATCCGTACTCAGGATATGAACGGTCCCATATTAATCAAATAGACGCTCGTGTACAGAAGATCCCAGCCCTTGGTTGGAAGCCTTAAAAGACCCCCACTCCGGCCTAAGATGAAGCGGCGAGTTCGGAGCCTCCCGATTGGCGGCTAGGGTTTCTTTCGGTACGTAAGCCTCGACGGAGCTGATCCCCCTTGATCTCCTCTTTGCCTCGTTCGATCTGTTTATCGATCTGGATCTGCTCTTAATTGTTCGTTTCTCATGCCAATATGCGTTGGATCACATTCGGTTCCATGCAGAAATGCGAATAGATTTCAGGTTTAGGGTTTCTGAGTCTAACTTGAATTAAGAAACGAGTAGGTAGTTGTGTATCTTTCTTCAAGAGAAGCAAACTTTTGAAGAATTTATGCTGGTTTTACCGAGATGGACAACGTTAATCGGAAAATGTTTGATTCGTCCTGCATATTTGTCCTAAATCTTGTCCTTGTAATGCATGCTATGTAGGCGTACTCGACATTGTTTGTGGTTAGCGTTTGTTGCGGTTCTTTGTCTGCTGGATGAGAATCTTACATCTTATTAGCAAGAAGTGATGTGGTTGTTTACTAATCGTAGTTTCTATGAACATTTCGATTTCAGCATTTTTATCTGTTCTGTACTTGAGTAATTATACTGGCTTCTGTATATATAGGGACATCGTAACTTTAAAGGTCGTAATGAGCAAGACCCTTCACTTAGAAAAGAACCCTTCTGAGGTTTTTACGTGTCTTTTTGTGTGAAAAATAGAGCAAATTGTTTTATGCTTACTGTAGTGAATGAAATATTTTCTTTTCTTTGGTGGATCCAGCATTGAACTTTTATTAATTTTTCCACAGTTTAGGCTTCAAAGTTTTATTTATTTTCTTACAATACTGTAATTGTTTGTTTGGGTGTCAAACGTAATAAAAGATAATTGGTCAGTGAACTTGAATTTAGCTAAAGAATTGCTGTTCGATGAAGTATCTAATAGAAATGTTGAATATCATTGTGTTTCCAGTGCATTCCCTCTAATTTCTTTTTCCCTCGTGTTGCTCTGTCTTTATTTTAATCATGGGATATGAAACTTTTGTAGGTAAGCTGTTAAAATTTTCTTGAGGCAAAGAAGATGGTACTCAAGTAAGTTACTTTGTTCATCACCATTTTTAGCACTTTCTTTATGACATGTGGGAACTTCTGACCACAAAATTTTCATTTGACTCTTAGCCATATTTGACTGCCCTCCTTTTCACATTCCTTGCACTTTTACAAGCGATCTACTCTAAGTATGTCTCTTTTCAGTATAGTAAATGTATTTAGTCAATAGTGGACTTGTCTTATTCTGTATCTTGGTGCAAGCCTCGGGTGCTAGCACCTAAGCTCTTCGGAAGTGTCCTACTTTTCTTCAATTATGTTTAGTTTATTTGTCATGCATCAATTATTTATTGACCAAATCAAAACCCACAATATATATATGTATATCTATATATACTTATATATATGTATATCTATATATATTTTTATTTATATATATATGTACATATATACATATATACATATATATATCGTCAATGTTGCATCAGCAATGCAAGGATACAAAAACTAATGCCCTTGACAAGACTGTCTATGACAGTGGATTAGGAATGTTTTATAACTAGTTGGTGGATTTTCATAAGCTAATAGTGTCGTTTGGATTACAGGACTGAGCTTTGTCGTTTTAGTGGTGCAAAGATATATCCAGGGAAAGGCATCAGATTTGTTCGATCCGACTCCCAGGTAATATTTGGAAGTCTTTGAGTTTCTCTTTGTCTTTTAATGTGGATGTACTTGTTACATCATTATGCTACTCTTATCTTTCAGGTTTTCCTGTTTGCCAATTCAAAATGTAAACGCTACTTTCACAATCGATTGAAGCCTGCAAAGCTTACCTGGACAGCAATGTACAGAAAGCAGCATAAGAAGGTATATTATTATAAGCTGATTTTTTCTTATCTGGGAAAATGAGGTCAAGAGTTATTTTCCTTGGACAAAGTCTGTTATATACATATAATGTCCTTAGTCTATTGAGGATCTATGCATGCTCCATGAAGTATACACATAGAAGAACTTGGACAGGAGAGATTTTCATTGATTGCTACTTGACAATAAGAGCTTATCTTTTTGCCCCATCTTAAGTTGCTTTCATGGCTCTGGCACAAGGTCGCTTTCTCTATGACACTGACATGGTTAAACAATGCTGATTTGCTTTTACTTGTTTTGTTGATGTAGGATATTTCTGTCATTGCTACAAATTGAGTCCTTTTCCTTTGGTGTAAAGGAAGCAAGTAGTTTAATTGGCTAATCTAGCGTCCATCAGACTTATTTATGTGTAATGACTATTTAAATGCAAAGCTCATTTATTTCTGGTGCAAAATTCATTTGTCAGTGGTAATTCACTAGTTGCCGAGCGTGCTTATTTGTTATCCAGTTTGGCTTAGCTTTTTAAGAATGATTGTTTACATCTGCTATCATTGAAATGTACCCTTTGGTGTTTGTGAAATCCTTGTCTAGGATATTCATGCTGAAGCTGTAAAGAAGAGACGCCGTACTACAAAGAAACCTTATTCAAGGTCGATTGTTGGTGCTACTTTGGAAGTCATTCAGAAAAAGCGAACAGAGAAGCCTGAAGTTCGTGATGCTGCTAGAGAATCTGCTTTGCGGTAAAGCTCTCAATTCACAAGCATTCATGTTGAGTAGCATGACTAATTAAGAAAAAAAAGCACAACTAATCTCCACTATCCTACCCGACCACTTTAAAATGTTTCAATAAGTTTTCCAGAATGTTCAACCTATAATTGCTACCCATAGGGGTATTTGATACTCTAACGACTATCTTTCTTTGGGGTGCTGACTATTGAAAACACACTCAACCTATCACTTGTATCTTCTCTGTAATATAGTCTTAATTCCCAAATGCATTTGATTTAGGCTTGTAGGAAAGCTTATCTGTGATCATCTCAGCTAATAATACCAATTGTTAAGTGACTTAGTAGTTCATTAGCATCCTTCAGTGAATGTCCTTTAATGTGGGATCGTTGAGAAGACTGTTCTGTTGCATTCCTAGAAAGGAACTGAAATTTGGTTTACTTTTTATTTCTTCAGAGAGATCAAAGAACGAATTAAGAAAACCAAGGATGAAAAGAAAGCTAAGAAGGCTGAGATAGTGGCTAAAGGTCAGAAGAGTACACAGACGAAGGGCAGCATGGCAAGGGCTCCTAAAGGCCCTAAGCTTGGTGGAGGTGGTGGGAAGCGATGAACGGCATTCTGGCTGCTGTGATATGTCTCGTGTACCAAAGTAAAAAAACAATTTTATGCACTATTTTCAGGATTCATTGTGGTTTTTAACTTTCTTAATAGTTTAGGTCTGCCTACTTTTGAACATTTTTCATGACAACCGCAGCTTCTAGAAATAACTTGATATTCTTGAAGGTAAATTTTGGTGTTGTTACCAGTTGAACGTTTTGTTCTGTACTGTTTCTTGATTGGAGGTTTTTATACTAGTTATATTCTTTACTTTATTGTTATCGATTGCTTGCTTAGTTTATATTTGATTGCTGTCGTGGAATGTGTCAACATTTTGCTGTGAGATTTAATCACTATGCTGTGTCTTTAGTGGATAGGAAAACGAAGAGCTGCTTGAACACTGTTGACGTTAGGAATGATCTAATTACCTGGACGTAGTTGGGAATTTTTTGTCAGGTAATTCCTGTTGGTGCCTAAAGTGAATTGTTACAAAAAAAAAAAATCAAATTTGCAGTAGTAAATTGGTTTTTTTTCATTGGTTCCTTTATGTTCAAATTTCTGTACAGCTAGTTTTTGTACATTCTGCAAGACTTAATCACATATAATCCTCAGCTTGAGATTTAATCACCCTTATACAATCGGCTAAATGGTTGGAGCTCTCCAACCAATTGATTTTGTGATATTTAAGCAAAAATAAATAAAATGTTTACAATCAATAGAAAACAGACTTTATTCTTGGTGGAACTGTTTTGCCTCTGTTGAGGTTATGGATTCTATTGTTTACATTGTTTGTTGATAACTACAAAGTGCATTCTTCTTATGAAAAGTTTCCAGAGATTGGGCACATGCAGGTCCTGATACCCTTCTCTAACAGTCTTAGTTCTTACTCAAAAGAGCTAATTATAAGTTATGTTATTCTACTTCATTGGTTTTACAGATATCCAGGCTTTCAATTGCTATGCACAACCAGATATATATGACTGTGACATGTGTAGCTTTTTCTTACCATGCATTTTATACTATATATAATATCTCCACCAAAACAGTGTTATCCATCTTCTGGGGGAAGGCTTCATGTCAAAACCAAAGTGCCGTTTCCTTTGGCACTTGGCATCTACTACTACTACTACTACTATTACTTATTGTCATGTTCAATGTTTGATATTATCTGATATAAATTCTGAGAACAGAAAAGCTTTCCTTGTCTATATTTTAACCATAACTAGTTTTTAACTTTTTAATAATATGATGGCACATGGCACCTGTGAAATTCCAATCTTGTGAAGCAATCTGGCTATATTTTTCTATTTAGGTCCTTCTCTTTTACTAGTAAAAATTCTTTTAGTGACATATTATGCCATCATTTTCCAGCTTCCTCCAAATCCCCAAAAGAACTTGTATAAGTTGTGTTACTATAGATGTCTCTCTGGATCTCAATTCCTTAGGCCCACTTGGTTTCATCTTTCCAAGGAATTCATTTGATGCTACTGATTACTTTATTGGCTGCCAGGTGAGATCCATGGGACCTGCACCTCCCCCTCCCCATGAAAGGGCTCAAAGGTGCTTCTTTTTGTGTGCAGACAGTGAGAAGTTGTGGAGTTGTTCTCACTTCTTCACATGTAAAATGTTATCCATCATCAAGTTGCATTATAATAAAGGAAGACCTCCCCACTTGCATCACTTGCTCCCTTGATTAATAGGAACACTAAAATGATGGATACATACTTCTTTCATGGCTTCAAGTGTCCAGGATCACCCAAAGATAACTTCTCTTGAGCTTTTCATCCATTAAATTTGTTTTATTTTAGTATGCATGTTATACAATACTTGAATGAAAGAAAAAAAGAAAGTATAATTATAGAGAAAACAAAACTCTTACGAATGGTCTCCTCTCAATCTACTTGCACACTTCTCTTGCCACCATGAGACTCGACTCCACTTGAGGATAAGGTGAGAACATTGATTGAACCCTAAAGAAGGTCCTGGGAGGGCAGCTGTGGTTGCCGTCGCCATTGACATCAAGCTTCGAATGGATGATACTTGGGGAAAATGACAACCTGTGACACCAAAAGAGAGGTGATCTCTTTAGATCCTTTTGGCAACTTTTCCTCGACAATGATAAAGAAGAAAAAGGAATCAAATGAGAGCCAATTCAATAGAAAAAATCATTGTTAGACAAGTCAATCTTTTCCCTTGATTTCATCATGATATTTTAATAAATCTATGTCCATCATAATCCCACTGAGATGACTCCTCTGCCTCCTCCATGTGCATTTACAGATGCCTGGTTTTGTATTTATGAGGTAGTCAGAAGAGTATAATCACAACACCTACAGGATTTGTATCACATTATGCTATAAATGCCATCATATGCATTTATTCTACCTGTCTTTCTTCCTTCTTTTGATGATTCGAGTACGTTAAATGATCTGTTGGAAAATCCAATCTAATCTGACAAGTGTTTCTTCTATGACAATCTGTGGATAAAATCTTCATGGTTCTGGCTAATCTTCTCAGCTGGTAATGGGGAAGTGGAAAGTGCATTGTTTGAATGGTGTAGAGAGATAGTGAGACCTTATCACTTGCTCCTCGTTCTACAGGACCACAACTAGATCCTTCCAGGAGCTGTCCTCATCACCTCGATTGGAGATAATTCATAAAATATGAAGCATCTAAATCCCTTCAAATTGCTCTATATAAGCAGCATAAACATCTTCCTTTCGCCGAAATCGTACTTGCATCTTCTTCTACTTACTAGGCTTCGAGCTCAGCTGTGATCTGATCCCTTCTCATCTGTGGCTTGACATCAGGATCAGGAAGTATGCCTGCAGCCAAGGATGACTTGCCGACATTGCTCAGTATCTGCCATAGTTTCTGCAGCGAAGTAAACTGGAGAAAGAAGATGTGGGCAAGTTGTCTTTGGCTACATGTTTCTTCCTGCTCCTCATGTTAAACCTCTGATGACCGTGTCCGCTTAATCCACTTCTGGTGCAGTTCTTCTGCCATTTGTGTATGTTTCCATTGCTTTCTTGCATCTGTTAACGCCATGCTTTTATCAGTTCAAATGTACTTGGTGCTACAGTATTGAGTCCAGAGAAATATGAGATCTCCAATGATGTTTTGCAATGGAGACCCACTGAGTTTTCTTTTGGTTGTTGCCATGTTTGCTGTATTTTATTCGAATAAATCATGTGTTTCTTCACACAAGTGCTTGTGTCTCTCTCAGATTTGCATCCATTATTGTCTCATAATAATCATAAATTGCATATCTGGCTTCTCTAAGGATCAAACGACGTACAGATTCATGAATATTTGACTGATAGCTCTCGTTAACATATAAAAAACAAACATAAATCATGTGTTTCTTTACATAAATGCTTGCATCTATGTCAGATTTGCATCCAATATTTTTCTCATAATAACAAAAAAATTCATATCTTGCATCTGAACAAACGGTTTACAGATTCATGCATTTTTTATTGATATTTCACATTCATA